AGTTCGGGAAGGTCGGCAAGGACATCTTCACCATGGACTACTGCTACCCGCTGTCCGCCTTCCAGGCCTTCGCCATCTGCCTGAGCAGCTTCGACACCAAGCTGGCCTGCGAATAAATTCGACAATTGTAGTGCTTATCGAATAATCGAAGACACTGATTGTCAGTGTGTTCGTCCAAGAAGCTGACTCTGTCCTCAAGTTTTCCAGGGACGCCATTCGGCACCAGGTGCTGGTGCCTTGTTAACTCTGAAACAGGCCCCCGAAATGCGTGGGGGGCTGAATCTATTTCAGCAGCTTCCTTGTGATAATCTGTAGCTGCTGCTTTGCTGTTGACTGCTGTTGTATCGTATGCTTCATTTCTTTCCGAGACTGTAGCTTCTTCCCCTGTGACATTAGTTCTGTATCTGTATCCGTATCTGGATGTTTCTTTTAGCCTTCTCCGTTGGATTGTTCACCGGTGATGGCATGTATTAACAGAGATGGTTGCAGCTGTAACGAATTGAGATCTGGATAACTTTGTTTTCCGTTGCCATTCCAAAAGAGAGACGGCTGCTGTCACTTTTTCGGAGCGGTAGTTGTAGTATGCTGTTTCTTTTGCTGTGGCCACTGCCGTCACCTTCAGCAGGGTCATCAGGGAGGTGACTGATGAGGTGTTCATTTGTTTGTTTTGCTTCGAAGCGAGGCCTTTTCGCAATGAGTAGTAAATAAATAATAAAGTTGTACAGATATATATAAATTGCGGCTGCAGCTGCAGCCAAATCTTGGGGCGCAGCGCAGGTCGAGAGAAAAAGAAGATCCGAAAGGGACCTCATATCATATTCTAGACGCCGAGGCGTGCGTCCCTGTCTAGGGTTTACTCACCACGCGGCGGTCCTGCAACCCACCCCGTCAGTCGATCACGACGGTACGGCCCAAGTTTTACTCGACCACGGCCTCGTTTAGGTTGGAGTTAGGAATCAGTATCTGACACTGTAGTACTTTTGTTTGTATTTGATAATTATTGTCCAATAATGGTCTAACTAGGCTCAAAAGATTCGTCTCGTAATTTACAATCAAACTGTGTAATTAATTATTTTTTTATCTACATTTAATACTCCATGCATGTGTCAAAGATTTGATGTGACGAAGAAAGTGAAAAAACTTACGATCTAAAGGCCCAGGAAAAAAAAATACTGGTGCCCTGTCAGGTCCGACTGTCCGAGGCAAGCAGGAGGCGTCCACGTCATCGGGTACAGTGGGCACTGCGTTACGAAGGGGACAGGCAACAAGTGGATCGGGCGAACCCCCCCATTATTCGGTTTCGGATAGCAACGCCTCCGCTACCGTTGTTCGTCGCTACTAGCTATACAAGTCACGAAATAATAATAAAACGATACGCCAAATGCAAGCATGGATTCTCTTTCGTCTAGAAGTTATTAGGGGTTTGTGTTTTGGTATTTCCTTTGACCCCGGTTGAAGCTGCAGTTGTTTCTTCTTGTTTCGGTGCCTTTTTGGTTTTCTCATCTAATAAAAATCGTGGTAAATCTTTTACCGTCCTTTAAAAAAATATACAAACATGGACACTTTTCCCATTCGCTTGCACGCTGCTGACGTGGTGGCCGCCCTTTCTGATCTGTCCGTCCGTCCGTCCGTCGAAGGAAGACGATCGCACTACTAACCTCGCTCAGGCTGCGTAAACTGCCCTTGTAGTGGTACATATAACGTGGTAGTAGTAGACTAGTATATAGTACGTACGTGGAACGCCTCGACCTCGCTGGCCGGATCGATACATACGTACTTGTAACTATCTACTCCTGGTAGGCTTCGGGCCGGGTCGTGTCGGTGATTCTGTGACGCGTGTGTTAGGCTGCCACGTACGCCTTGTGCGGCGCTGTGCTCTCCCTGGAGCAGTCACAACGTACTGTACCCCGTCGAGTTCGAACGCAGCAATAAGGCTAATCTTAATTCTTAACGAGGGATTTGCTAAAATTCAGGCGTCTGAATTTTAGTTTCCTTTCGGACGACGGTTATTGTATATATTTTATACTAAAATTACAAATTTCGTCTGTTGCGATTTCTGTAAACGCAATCTGCAATTTAGGAACTGAGAATAAAAAACCCGGTACACAAAACCATAAATCCGACAAAATATGATTTGTGTTGGCACAAAAACAATTAACAATTATTTTCTATAAGAAGACAAGGACAAAATTTGATATGCTATGACATAAAGACAAATAACAAATCATAAAAGTAACAATTTACTTGTACTAGTTAGAGGTACAAGAGTGTTGCCTGAAATCATCTTAAAATTCAGGCACCTGAAATATAGGAGAAGTGCTTAACGAAAGTGTTTTGCGATGTTGCTTTTAAGAGAACCATGTTGTATAAAAAAAATGAAACGTCGATAAAATACCCATTTTCAATAAAAACTTTTAATCTATGATTTCATAGATATTTAATTTCATGACTTATAGATAGTTAATAATCGTGCTAAGAGCTTTTTCATCCATAAAATCCTATGTGACAGATTATTAAATGAAATATACACAAAGAACGACATAAACATATTATTAATGTTGGCCTCCTTAGCTTCCTCCATCTCCTATGCTTCTCCTGATATACTCTTGAATGATGTATTTCCGTTATGTCCTTGATGGAATGGAGTGATCCCTCAGTTTGAAAAAAAAAGAACGACATAAACATGAAGCAAATGCTGTAGGCAAATAGCCATCATGTTTAATTCGCTTAAAACACCTATTCTCAATGAAAATTTTTATCCTACGATTTCATAGATATTTAATTTCATGACTCATGAATATCTAATGATCGCGCTAAGAGAGTTTCATTCTCCATGCAATTCATTTCTCTCTCTCTCTCTTTTTTAAAAACGTTACCGCGTGATAGAAGACACATACGTATATGACAGATTATTAAATAAAAATATACACTAAGAATGACCTACTAAACATGAAGCAAAATACTGAGTGTAGGAAAATAGGCTTGTACGGGCCCAGCTCAAGGCAGCATCAGCCACAGGCAGTGAACGGCCGGGCTCTCTCTCTCTCTCTCTCTCTCCGCACGCGCGGCGACGGCACGTGCCACCCCGTCCGGTGTCAAGTCTGATGAACGCACCCACTGGGCACTGCCTTGCGCCCGGTCTCCCTTCTCCCCATCCGTCCCCCACTGGGTCAACCACGAGTAGCGACTAGACCACCACCACCCGCAGCCGTGTCCTTGTCCGCGTGGCCCCCGCTCCTCCCCTTCCCGCCCGCGTCCGCCGCGGTCACAGTACTGCTGCTGGCTGCGGAGCCGTGGATTAGATTAGAGAACACAAACAACTCGGTTTCTTTGACTAATCAATCACCATAACCAAATCCTGCTCCTCCTTGTCGTCCTGCCGATTGCTGAAGCCAGACCTGACCACCGACCGACTGGGCCAGCACTGGCCGTGCGGAGGACCTGGACTGTTTCCACTGGTCTCCACCATCCGTAGCGATCCCGTCTGATTACAGATTAAACAAAACCAACACCTTATTATTTCTCTTCTCTAATAAAAAAGAACCAGACGAGTAAATAATGGCCGCGCCTCCTCCCGTGTCCCGTCGCACGCACGAGCTGCCATCCTTCTTTTTTGCCGATCCGTCCCTGCAGATCGCCGAAATCGCGTTCGTGCGTGCGTCCTACCCGCACCGCACGATCACGACGCCATCGCGGCCTGCTGGCTGCTGCTGCTGCCACGGATGGGTACGTGGAGCAGGAGCGCGCCCAATTTATCGTCCTCTACTTGTGGTAAGCTCGCAGCGCACATGCGCTTATGCCTGCTCACCCAATTACTTTTCCGTCCTGCTAGTATTTACTTAGTGCTTATAGTAGTATTAATTAATTACTCCTCCGTCTCTGCACGGTTCACGCCTGCCACCTGCCGCATCAACTCTGAGATCTACCGAGATTTTCACAACGAATGGTGCTTCATGCTTCATTCAATCGAAACATGAAGATAAAATATAATACTCCTTTCGTTTCAAATTATAAGTCCTTTTGATTTTTCTAAATACGTTGCATTTGCTATGCACATATACACTATGTCTAAATACATAGTAGAATCAATTAATGTATCAAAACGTCTTATAATTTGGAACAAATTTAATACTAATTTACTACTATTGTATAGTATATACACACGCTACCATTACACTGATACACAAAAAGCAACATAAATGGTCCAACCAAAATTTTAATTTTTTTTTTGCTTTTCTAGGTGCATAACTTTTGCTATGCATCCAAATATAGGTCTATGTATAGTTACGTAGCAAAACTTATCGATCTAGAAAATAACTTATGATAGTAAAAAAGAAAAAGAAAAAGAAAACGACTTACGATTAGAAATGCAGGAGTGTTAAGGAAACAATCCCTCGCAATCCTTCGGGGCCATTATTAACTCGATGTCACGACACAAAACCCATGGACACCACAACTCATCACCAAGCACTCGTGAGCAATTACAATGCTTCCCCAGGGCCCTTATAGCAAAACCACCCTAATGATCAAAAAAATTCTAAACACAAACCGGAAACATTCCGAAACCAGAGGAATATTTGTGCCCACAAAAATAAATAAAAGCGCTGCTAGTACTCCACCTCGCCACTAAACTACTCCAACCGCCATGATTAGCCCAGACGAGAGCTTCCAGCTTCGGACCCTTTCCTCCCAAACCTTCCGTAACCAATAAACTAATCCCCTCCCCTAATCGCGTCATCCCCACACATATATACGTACCACCACGCCACCACCCTCCCCATCACCATTCACTCATCCACCACCACCACCACCACCGGCGCCGCACGCATCCCCCACGCAATCCAATCTCACCGGAAAAACGCCTGCTTGGGTTGAGTCGAGCTGAGCTGAGCCGCCATGTGCCCGCGGACCCGCTGAGCCAAACCCCCCCGCTCCTACCCTACCGGCCGTTCCCTCTCCAAGATCCGCGCTTTGATTCGTCCGCCGACGACAACGAGACCATGCCGGCCACGGACCTCCAGGGCTCCTCCCCGTCGACGCACGCCCACTCCTCCCCGTTCTCCTCCTTCGGCCGCACCCTCCTCTCCCTCCGCCGCGACGCCCCCGCCGCGGCTGCGGCCGCGATGCCGCCGCCGCCCGCCGTCGACCCGGAGCTCGAGGAGTTCCACGCCCACGTCGCCGCGCACCTCGCCGACCTGAGGTCATCCGCCGGGGCCGGTGGCGCGGGCGCCGGTGGGGAGGAGGATGAGTTCATGTCCATCCCGTGGATCCGGCGCCTGCTGGAGGCGTTCCTGCTGTGCCAGGAGGAGTTCCGTGTGGAGGTGGCCGAGGCGCGCCGGCGCCGCGGCGGGGTGACGTCCCCCGCAGCGGAGAAGCTAGTGGTGGAGTTCGGCGAGCGCGCCGTCAAGGCGCTCGACGTCTGCAACGCGGCGCGCGACGGCGTCGACCAGGCGCGCCGCTGGGAGCGCCTCGCGGGCATCGCGGCCTCCGCGCTGCTGCCGGCTCCCGCCGGCGCCGAGGAGGAGGGGCGGCAGAGGCAGCAGATCCACGAGGGCCAGCTCCGGCGTGCGCGGAAGGCGCTCTCGGACCTCTCCGTGCTCCTCATCGACGACGCCGCCGCCGCCGCGGTGGGCGCCGGCGGCGGGCTCGCCTCGTTCCTCTCGTCCCACCGCAACCGCTCCTTCGGCCGCGCGCGGGCCTCCCCCTCCCGCGCCGCGTCCCTCGCCTCGGCTTCCTCCTCCTCGTCCTCGTCCTCGTCGCCCTCCGCCCACTTCCGCTCGCTCTCGTGGAGCGTGTCGCGCACCTGGTCGGCGGCGCGCCAGCTGCAGGCCATCGGGTCCGGCCTGGCCGCGCCGCGTGCCAACGAGGCCGCCGCCGCCTCGGGCCTCGCGGCCCCGGCCTACGCCATGGGCTGCCTGCTCCACCTCGTCGCCTGGGCGCTCGTCGCCGCCGTGCCCTGCCCGGACCGCGCCGCCGCGCTCCAGGCGCACCACCACCTCCCGCCCCCGCCGCCGCGCGCCGCGTTCCCCTGGGCGCCGCCGCTCCTCGCGCTCCAGGAACGCCTCGCCGAGGAAGGGAAGCGCAAGGACCGACGCAACTCGTGCGGCCTGGTCAGGGAGATCCACGCGCTGGAGAAGTGCGCGCAGAGGCTCGCAGAGGCCATCGACGCCGCGCCTGTCCCACTCACCGGCGAGCGGGAAGCCGAGGTGCGGGAGGCTGCTGCTGAGCTCGCCGCGGCGTGCACCGCCATGAAGGACGGGCTGGACCCGCTGGAGAGACAGGTCCGGGAGGTCTTCCACCGCATCGTGCGCAGCCGAATGGAGGGCCTCGATTCACCGATGCTCAATGCCGATTGAGCTCTGTCAAGATCATCATCATCATCTTGGCTTTGATCTCGCAATGTGGCGGTGCTAGGTAGCTATCCTGTTCTTGTTTTTTTTTTCGCTCACTCTTGTGATCAGCTAGTGGTAAGTATAAAATGTGTATCCTTCTGTAAAGGATTACATAAAAGGGAAAGGGAAGGTGTCATCTTTAGGTAAAGATGATTCCTTGTTCCCATGTTTTGATGCTGCATTTGGTGTATATCGTCGCGTTTTTGATAGTGTCACGTCTGTGTGCAGCTAATTCTCGAGCAACTTGTGTCGCTTTAGAAATGTGACTTTCATTGACAATGCTAACAACCAGAAAAAAAATATATATATGTAGTTTAACTTTGCACATTTCTTGGTTCTTATCTTTGGATTATCGTGTTCTGCTCTTTCCATGGTTCATTTTGGAGGTCTACTTAGACTTTTATTCTATCAATGTTATTGTGCAAAGAAATGTGACAATAATGGTGGCAAAAATGCGGGGATCGAATTGCGACACAACAACAACTACAAAGCCTTGGTGATCAATTTGTGAGAAGCCAGATTTTTCAGAATTCTAAATGGGCTCATGTAATGCGTGTCTCAATCTGGCAATATGTCTATGAGTGGTATATTGTGCATTGTTCATCTGCATTATGAATTGATTGACATGTGTGACATCAATATATTTATTATGAGTTGCAAAGTGAATGGCTCTGTTCGGTTGGTTTATAAGTCACTTGTGCTGATTTGTACGGCTGATTTGTTGGAAGGAAAAAATATTGTACCATAGCTGATAAGCCGGCTTATAATGGCAAGAATAGGACCAACTGGATGTGTCTTTTATATTAAATAAAATTGGGCCTGAATGGATAGCATATTTCAGAATAGAAGCCTCAACCTTCTCGATGGAGAAAAGGAAAAACAAGTTGCAAGATATTTTGAAGGTATCGAAAAGGTCTTGATCATGGAGATAGCGTATCATTTCGTTCAGCCTGGGCACAAATTACCCGAAAACCGATAACCGATAACCGAAACGAAACCGAACCGAAATGTCGGTTTTTCGGTTCCTCGGTTCGGTTTTGGTTTTGGATTCTGGGAACTTCGGTCTTCGGCTTCGGCCTCGGTTCCAGCCTCCCACCGAACCGAGACACCGAATAACCGAAGTGATGCAAACAATCTCGTCTCCACCGCTAAACAGTCACAGCCCACACAGTCCCCTCAACTCCGTTCTCTGGCCCACGGTGGAAGCACCCAGCGGCCCAACTCTTCTCCAGTTCTCTCCCTCCCGCACACACGGGGCGCCAGCAGGCCCTGCACCTCTCCCGCACGCGGCACAGGGCATACTCCCCTAACCCTAGCGGTGGCGGCGCCGTGGCCCATGGCGCTGGGGAGCGGCCCACGGCAGCCCGGGGGGCAGGCCGGTGAGGAGCGGCGCATCTGCTCGGAGACGGCCGGCGCCCGGCGGGGAGCAGTGCATCCACCAAGCAGCGGCGGTGAGCAACGAGCAGCGGTGGCGTCCGGCGAGCGGCGTCGCCGTCGTCTAGCAAGCAGGGGCGGAGGGGCCTAGGCGCATGCTGCGCAGTTGCGAGGGCAGGCCAAGGCGCGGCAGGGAGGCCACGCCCAAGCGTGATGGCGAGCACCGAGCAGGACTTGCAGCTGCGAGGGCAGGCCAGCTTGGCTCCAGCAGACGACGACCGACGGGGCGGCGCGGCTCCCCCGCGGCGGCGTGACGCATCGGCGAGGAGGCTGCGAGGCATGGCCGGCGGGCTTCTGCGAGCAGGCATGAGGTCCTCTAGTTCTCTCCTCTCTCTTTGCTGTCCGTTCGGTGGAACCGAGAAACCGACCCGATGAAACCGAAACCGATCTCGTCGGTTTTTGATTTTGCAAGAAACCGATCGGCTCTTGTTTTCTGGAAACCGAAATTTATGTAAACCGAGCAAACCGAACCGAAGTCTCGGTTAAAACCGATTTCCCACTCTGACATTTCGTTTTCTGTACTTAATGAATTTGCAGTATTCATTAAGTATGAAGGGCGGGTTTGGTGCAAGTGGTAGACTCTTATCGCTTGTGACCAGAAGGTCTCCTCGTATTGCACAGGCGAGGGTAAGGCTTACCACAGAGCGGGAGCTCTTTGCACTTGGTACACCCTTTAATGAATTTGCAGTATTTGGGTTTATGCTTTATCCAAATGTCATGCTCGTGCAATTTGTGCAGTATGGGTGATAGAGACCATTTCTGATTCTCGAGTAACTTGTGTTGCAACATACATGTGATTCACTTCGCAGATGTGCCGTTCGTTGGCAATTCTAAAAAGGAGATAAGGCCATCCTTTTTTTTGTGCTCAGATCATTTTTTTTTTGGAGATATTGGGCTCCTAGCTCCATTGTTTCAATTTTATGCTACATTGGTCAGTGTCATTCCAGAAGCTTTACTCTGGTTTGTTCTTGGCATCTTGCGTGCAAACTCGAAAGAAATGCGGCAGTCATTGTTGGAATGCATATATAATTCAGTTGAGTCTAAATCTGGCAACATGATCGTGGATTGCTCTACGCATGATGAATTGATTGACTTGTGTGCAACAGCGAGCTATATTTCTGGGATGCAAAGAGAGTAGTATCAGGAGGATAGCAATGGGATCCTACATGTAGCTTTCACATTGAATAAATTGGTGTTACAATACTTCAGAACAGAAGCTGCAACTTTTTCAGTAAGAAGACCTGCATGATATTTTGAAGCCACTAATAATGATGAAGAGGTCGTGATCAAGGCAATAACAATACCATTTTCCGTACCTGATATTTGTGTTTCATCCAAAATCTCAGGCTGTTTGTTGACGCTTTAGAGCGGCAGTTGGATGTGCTATTTTCTTCTCCTACCAATTGTCAGATTGTAGGAAAGATGAGTCCAAAAGCTAGTGTCGCTACCTGAGCAGTATTTAATCAGGTTGGACTAATCCCTTCCTGTTAAACTATTGCCTTTTTAAGATGGTGCCTGCAGGAGTACGTAGACTTTGATAACTGTACTTATTCCTAATACTCATCTCTTTATCCCTTTTTTAATAAGATTCTACCTCTCACAGTCTCACTGAAACCTAAATAAACACAAGCCGAATACATACTCTGATCGCTGATGTTCTTTACAGTGTGGTTGTAGCTCAGCTTTGCGCCTGCAAAATGCCATCGCCAGTTGGATGAAGAATGTTTCAGCAGATATAGCTGCACCTGACAAGTGTCGACAATGTACAGAACAGAGGAAACACCAACTGAGGAAAAGATCTTATGGTCTCTCATCGTGGCCCCCGTTTTTTTTACTCATTATGATCTCTGAAAAATGCAGCTGCTGAGGTTTCCAACATCATTAGACGCATGATGATGCATCATCAGCACTGTCATGTGCCCTCTGTAGTCTGTAACCTCACTAACCTCTTCCTTTTTGCTGCCAGTAATAAGTATTCCTTCCGTCCCAAAATATCTATCGTTTTCGCTTCTCGAGAAATAACTTTGATAAAATATATATTAAAAATATTAATATTTATAGTACATAATTGATATCATTGGAAAGATCTTTGAATCTAGTTTTTAATAAATTTATTTGGAGATACAAATGTTGCACGTATTTTCTACAAATCGAGTCAAATTTATGCCACGAAAACCAAAACCGACAGATAATTTGGGACAGGGGAGCAAGCATTATCATGCTCTGCTGCAGGTTCACCTGCCACACGTTAGCCCTGTTCACAAGAGGCAAGAGGAAGAGGTGGTTTCTGACTTTGTATTTTGCTGCCTGGGCATGGGCATGGGCATGGGCATCTCCGTTATCGTCATCGTCATTGTCACTTTTCATCGGTGTCTGTCTGTATACAAGGAGGAGGACAACTGATGCCGTGACGGCATGCCCGCAGCGAGCTCTAGCGTTTGGAAGCCTTTCCATGGACCGCACTGCGTTGGACTGATGCCCAGAGCCGCCAGAGCGGCTGTTCTTCGAGTTCCTTCTTCTGCTGTTGGTCGTCGGTGGTCTCCATTGCTGACTGACCTCTCTCGCTTTTTCTTTCCAGCGGGTGCTGCTGCGGGGGAAGAGGACAAGCCTCGTGTGATGCAGCGCAGGCGCAGGTGTGGTCGGCTGGCGGCTGCAGGCGCTCACCTGCCGCCGCTGCAGCGTGCGTGCGACCCCGTTGGTCCCGTTCCCACATTGTTGGGCCTGGGCCTGGGCGTCACCGGTGCGTCATGCTGGCGTCACCTCGCCGGGAGGCACGGGTCTCTTCTGTCTTGCAGCGCCCGGTGCGTCGGTGCCTTTGGCAAATTTGGTTTTCTTCTGTTGCACAAGGAAGATTTCCGGAGCCCTCTGCCAGAGGTGAAAACCATTTCCATTTCAGATTTCTGAGATATTTACTACTTGTATGTACTCCTACATCTGAGCAACTTAATCAATTCCATTGTTTTTTTTTTCTGAGACGGATTATAATCAGTTCCAATCATATTCGTACGAGGGGAGTAGTCTTAGCCCAACCTTGGCCATGACATAAGCCTTTGAAGGCCCACTAAGGCTGGCAGACACAAAGGCCCACTCAGCATGTTTCAGTTAGGGAAAAAATTCTTTCGCAAAAAAAAAAAAAAAGTTAGCGAAAAAAATTCATTCTAACTCTCTGTCCGGACCATGATTTTTCTCCTTATAAACTCTAAAACCATATATCTATCTTACCCCAAACTCTTAAATTCATTCCAATTATCTCCCGGCCTTGGTTTCAATTGGTTTTGAAGGTAGGTTTCATATTTGTTAGTTAAAAAATCCGGTAAATATTTGATAAGGTTTTAAAAAACTGTATAAAATATTTCTAAGCTTCTAAAAATTTTGAGAAAAATCCTGGACACAGATTTGGACGTGAAAATTCAAAATAAAATATTTAGAGCTCGTGAAAATATCTCTAGGTGTTTAAAAATAGATTTAACTATAAGAAAATGGAAAAAATATTCTAAAAATCTAGAAAACAACATTCTAATCAATGTCTA